TCAGTGCAGTTGTTTCGAAATCTTCCTACCTAAAACCACTGCCAGAGTTGTCCAAAGATTGTGAGCTGATGGTCGAAAATCGCCAAAACCTTTAAGAAAAAATTTTACAATTTGACATTAGGCGTTCACATTTCAATACTGACCTACAGTAAGTATACTAATAAAAGTGAAGTACATGCTCTCCACATAACTCCATTTTTCCTTCCTTTGAATGATATAAGAGGCAAAAAGTCCATAGAGGAATACAAATAGGAAGACAACGATAGGTGGAAATCTGACAAGTTTCACTCGATCTAGAATTTCCTGAAAATAAAAGATGTAGAAGACTTCTTACATATGTCAACTACATGCCATATACGGTGATCCCAAAAAACACAATGGTTTTCAAACTCCCGATTTTCAGCGATCTTGTCAGAAAAAAAACAGATCCAGAATGAATATAGAAAAGAATTTGCAAGCAATAAATCGTAATGGAATTTGGTGACCATCGCTGTTTGCGTTTCTCAAGACGTTGAACAACCCTAACACTCAGTTGGGTCCTCTCTGTTCGCTCTTTATGCCATATGCTGTTTCAAATCTATATCATTTGTTTATAAATTATAAATAACTAAAGTATGAGGTTATCCAGGTATTTCTGCAAGGTTTGGGATTAGTTTAGTAGAATTAATCCTGCACCTGCTCATCCTCATCCTCTGCAAACATTGGTTCTTCGTTTGCCAATTCCTCTCCCTTTCGCCTGGCTTTCCATCTGCACCAATACTTCCACAACTCATAATGAACCAGAAATACTGTCTCAGAGATGAACTTCGCCAAATTTGCAACTGTGACGAGGGTAAGAGGAATCCCTAAAGTATGCGTTGTCACAAAGAGCTAGAATCTTGGGTAGTTTTACCTATGAGACAGTAGATAACTCCAAATAATCGTCCACCAAAGGTGTTTGGCGCCACATAGCCGTAACCTATTGAGGTTAGCATAGTCGTAGTGAAAAACACAGAGTTGGCAAAGTCCCAGGAGGGTGCATCCTGAAGCTCAAGGAGATAGAAGAGTGTATAGAGAAAAGTGAATTTGTGTACACAGTGCAATTGCATCAAACCAAA